TTTTTTTTTTTATTGTCTAAAGTTTTACATGTGTCTCCTTTTCCCCCCCGATTAACCCCTCCCTTCCTAGCCATTCCCACCCTGGGCCAGCCCCCACTGCCCCAGTGTCTGTGTCCATTGGTTATGCTAATATGCATGCATACTGTTGCTTATGCTTTTGATGTATCTAAGAAACCATTACCTAATCCAGGGTCACATGGATTTATGCCTATGTTTTCTTCTAAGCGTTCTATAATTTTAGCTCTTACATTTAGTTCTTTGATCCGCTTGAAGTTAATTTTTCAATGTGGTGTGAGATAGAGGTCTGGTTTTATTCTTTTTTAAAAAATATATTTTATTGATTTTTTACAGAGAGGAAGGGAGAGAGATAAAGAGTTAGAAACATCCATGAGAGAGAAACATTGATCAGCTGCCTCCTGCACACTCCCTACTGGAGATGTGCCCGCAACCAAGGTACATGCCCTTGACCAGAATCGAACCTGGGACCTTTCAGTCCACAGGCCGACGCTCTATCCACTGAGCCAAACTGGTTACGGCTGGGTTTATTCTTATAAATGTGCATATCCAGTTGTCGAAAAGACTATACTTTTCCCATTGGATTGTCTTGGTACCCTTGTTGAAAATCAGTTGACCATAAATGTGACTATAGATTTCTGGATTCTCAGTTCTATTTAATGACTTATATGTCTATTCTTATGTTAATACCATACTGTTTTGATTACTGTAGCTTTGTAGTGAGTTTGAAATTAGTGAGTGTAGTCTTTCTGTTTTGTTCTGCTTTTTTAAGATTGTTTAGCCTATCCTGGTTTTGCCTTATAAGTTTTTAAATACCTATTTTATAGCCTTCTGAAGCTGATTAGTTTCTTGAATATATACATTTTATATTTTGGGCCACATAGATTATTTTAATTATTTTCATACTATAAATTCTATTCCCCATATCAGCCATCATGTCTCAGATCTTTCTTCATTCCTCAGCCTTTTCTTTAGCCATATTAGAGCTTATTTATATTTTATATTTAGTGAATAGATTTTTTATGTTCACTGGTAAAAACATAAAAGTAGGTTATTAGGATATTTTATATATATCTCTTACTGGAAAGCAAAACATCAGTTTGCTTTTTATGTATGGGCATCAGGTAATTTTGTTTCTCCCTAGGTCATTGGGCCTTAAGGGGGTCCCAAGCAGCCTATAAGTATAGTAAAGAAGTGTAAGTCATATTCCTTATGCTGCCAATAATAATATTACATTCCACTTGGGAAAACAAGTCCGTTATACATGAAATATTAACGATGAATGTTTTGTTTATATGAGCATGCATAGACATGTAAAAGTATTAGGAATATGACACAAATTAGTTGGAAATAGAACCGTATATAGCATGCAAGATTTGCAATTTAATTAAAATGTGAGTCTTATAAATAAGTTACTCTCTTTTAAAAATCGTGAATTTAAGAGTAAGTTATAGTTAGCTTTTTAGGAACGTAACTGGAAGGCAAAAGGAGGTACATTTATATTTCTGAGTAGTAGGTTTATTTTGAAAATAATTATTAATTTTCTGGAGAATTAGAAAAGCAGAGTACTAAATAGGCAACTCAGAATTATGTTGTCCACACTGAGAATGATGCAGGTCTCAGATGAAACATGAGTTATGTAAAGGGAGTCTCCCAGGTCCTGCCCATCTTTTACTATGATGTCATTGGGGAATGAGCCATAGCTGATTTATGCATTGAAGAAAGACTTGTTTCAAATTATTGTTCACTTTGCAAGGTGACTAATTTGCTGGCTGAATAAGCTGAATTGTCAGCTGTACATATTTTAATATTCAAGTTGAGGAACTTGACCTAGAAAGGGATCCTGTTTGGGAAATAATGTGGAATCTTTAACATCAGTGAAGTAAATTTTTCTTTCTTTCTTGTAAGGACACGTGGATACATCAAAGCATTCATGGTTTGAGTAGTATAAATAAAATTTGATTAGTTGTAACATAAACTTATAGTACTACTTAACGTTAAGATCACTCTGTTTTTTATTGGTTTCCAGACATAGTGCTAATTAAATCCCAATTTTATTATTTTAGGTTTCCCTAGGAATGAATTGTTGTCCATGTTTTACTTACTATAATAATGATGAATATTTGGTGCTAATTTTTTTATTGTGGTAAAGTACCGATAGCATAAAATTTACCACCTTAAACCATTTTTTAAAACCTTCACCAGAGGATATTTTTTCCATTGATTTCTAGAGAGAGTGGAAGAGAGGGAGCAGGGAAAAAGAGAGAGAGAGATAGAGAGAGAGAGAGAGAGAGAGAGACCTCGATTGGCTGCCTCCCGCATGCACATCCTGCTGGGGCTGGGGAACCTGCAACCAAGCTACATGTCCTTGACTGGGAATCGAACCCGTGTCCCTTGGGTCCTTGGGCCGACATTCTAACCACTGAGCAAAACCGGCAAGGGTCTTAAACCATTTTTAAGTGTACAGTTCAGTGACATTAAGTACATTCACATTGTTGTGTAATCATTACCACTTTTCATCTTTAGAACATTTTTTATCTTGTGAAAACTGAAACTCTGTACTCATGAATCATTAACTCCCCATTGCCCCCTCAGCTCACCCCCTGGCAACTACCATCCAGCTTTCTATCTCTATGAATTTGACTACTCTAGGCACCTCATATAAGTGGAATCATACAATATCCGTCCTTTTGTAACTGCTTGTTGCACTTAGTACAATGTCTTCAAGGTTCGTTCGTGTTTTAGCAGAATTTTGTTCCTTTTTAAGGTTTAATATATTCTGTTAAATCAGTGGTTCTCAACCTTCTGGCCCTTTAAATACAGTTCCTCATGTTGTGACCCAACCATAAAATTATTTTCGTTGCTACTTCATAACTGTAATGTTGCTACTGTTATGAATCCTAATGTAAATATCTGATATGCAGGATGGTCTTAGGTGACCCCTGTGAAAGGGTTGTTCGACTGCCAAAGGGGTCTCGACTCACAGATTGAGAACCGCTGTGTTAAATGTATATCACATTTTGTTTATTCATTTATTCATCAATGGTCATTTGGGTTGCTTCCACCTTTTGGCTATTGTGAATAATGATGCTATGAACATGGGTGTACTTCAGTGCTATTTTTGTAAAGGCAGTGAATAGCAGCTAACCCTTATCTTTTTAAGTATTGTTCCAAACAAAGAGGAAGATGCTTATCTTTTGGATTTTGGTGGTGGTGTTTTTTTAAATTTAAAAGAAATTTAAAATTCAGATTAAGGCCCAAATTTGTTACTGCTATTTAATCACTGTTTTGCTTTCTAAGCCATATAGAGCAAGAAGTTTTTTTAAAAATATATTTTTATTAATTTCAGAGTGGGAGAGAGAGAGAGAAACATCAGCGATGAAAGAGAATCATTGAATGGCTACATGCCCCGCATAGGGGATTGAGCCAGCAACCTGGGCAATGCCCTGACCGGAATTGAACTGTGACCTCCTGGTTTATAGGTCGATGCTCAACCACTGAACCACACCAGCCTGGTGAGCAAGAAGTTTTTTCATGGAAAAAAATGTCATACTTAGAATCTTATAGCCATATAATTTAATTCAACCAGCCAGTAGCATTTGATGGGATTCTCACTATAGCATTTTATATTAAAACTAGAGGCCTGGTGCACAAAATTCACGCATTTGGGGGGTGGGGAGGTCCTTCAGCCTGGCCTGCGCCCTCTCGCAGTTTGGGAGCCCTTGGGGGCCTAAGCTGTCAGTCGGACATCCTTAGCGCTGCAGAGGTGGGAGAGGCTCCTGCCACTGCCTCTGTGCTCGCCAGCCATGAGCCTGGCTTCTGGCTGAGAGGCGCTCCCCCTGTGAGAGTGCACTTACCACCAGGGAGCAGCTCCTGCGTTGAGCATCTGCCCCTTGGTGGTCAGTGCACGTCATAGCGACTGGTCGTTCCGCCATTCGGTCGATTTGCATATTAGTCTCTTATTATATAGGATGCTGTCATATACCTGACCCTTAAACTCTCTTCAAATCTCACTGATTTCTTAGCTTGGATGTTTGTATCCTAGACATTCCACCTATATTCTAAACAGTCTTGTGAAAAGCCTTCTCTTAATATCTATGTATCAGTCAACAGAGCTGGGGTGTGAATTTTGTTTGATAATGAAAACTGAGCTAATAAAGAAGTAAAGATAGTTGTTTACATTTTAAAGGCTACCTTTGATGTAAGTTAGATGTAGGGACATTTGTAAGTATTGCACTCTTGAGGACAAATTGATTTTAGGTTGGATATATTAGTTATTAGGCAATTCTTTGTATTATATAGGATTTTCCATGGGTTGATTGGTTCCTTTATCATGCCATTTAATACTTACAAATTATTGATTGTATCAAATGATGTCATGAAGGGGAGAAGGAAAGAGCTGTGAAGAGGACAGAGAAAAGCATACAAATATTGCAGAAAAAAAGTTTGGATTTCTTCTCAATTCAAATCATTTGAAATGAAGGCAGAACACTACTTTGTGTGTGTGTGTGTGGGGGGGGAGGTTATTTTATTTATAGTTTTTCAGGCATTCGTTCTAGATATATACTTATGCATACAGGACTATACATGCAGCTCCTTTGCTCAGACCAAATGTTCTTGCAAGAAACTAATAACCAACCTTGTGGTGAGGGGTGAGATAGTAGATTCTGAGTCACAGTACAGTTTCCGGAGAGTTGATAATGCATTTATTATAATACAGATTTGACTGTAAGGGGCCAGCCAATACAGTGTGCTCAGCCAATACTTTTGTTCCTTTTTAAAAGTTCAATAATATTCTGTTAAATGTATATGTGTGAGCATACCATTAAGGGCTAGTATTAACAAAGTATGATCATAGCAAACTTTGTTGAGCTCTGGGCCTAAGGAAAAGGAATAAGTGAAATTGAATGTTTGAAAAGTTTTTGCAGTATGTCTGAGACTTTCTTGCCACATTTCTGGTAGAGTGAATTTAACACAAAGCATTAATGCTAATTGACTATGGTGGAACATACGCCTTTTTGGTGGTTAGTCTTCTACACCTAGGTAAAACATAACTCTGATGTTTTCCTTTCATTTCTCTTTGCCTGAAAACGTTTTGGGAAAAAAAAAAGCACTAAATTTTTTGTGCTTCTAAGATATCTTTGAGAACTAATGAAAAATAACTGATACAACATAAGTTGGCAGGCACAGAGAGGGAAATTTTTTTTCATTTGTCTCAATTATACAAGTTAAAAAAAAGGGAGAAATAAATGACATTTCCTGGCAGTGGAAATACTTTACAGTTATAATGATAATGCGATATTTGGCCAAGGTTCTTTGGGAAATACAAAATGACTCTAATGTAGTACAGCTCCTTTCTTAGATCAGATTTTTGGGTAGTGAAGATAAGGCAGACAGAAAGTTTCATACTTTGGGTCAGAAAAATATAAGAATATAAAAATATGACACCATAAACATAGCATATATGTAAAAAAAAAAGCTTTAGTAAGGTATAATTTGCACATTATATAATTCATCCATGCAGTGGTTTTTATTATGCTTATGCTAGTTGTGCAACTGTCAGCATAATCAATTTTAGTATGTGTTTATCACCCCCAATAGAAAACCATATCTTCTAGCAGTCACTCTCCCCATCTAGGCATTCACTAGTCTATTTGCTGTCTTTATTTGCCTATTCTGGACATTTGAAATAAATGGAATCATACAATATGTGGTCTCTTGTGACTGGCTTCTTTCACTTAGCACAAGCTTCATCCATGTTGTACTATGTATCTGTACTTATTTCTTTTAATTGCCAGATAATGTTCCATTTTGTGGATATACCACCTTTATCCATTCACTAGTTGATGGACAGTTGGGTTGTTTCCACTTTTTGCCTATTATGAATAGCCATATAATACTGTTATGAACATTCATGTACAGACTCTTGCATGGACAAAGGTTGTCATTTCTCTTGGGTATATATCTAGGATTGGGAATTGCTGGGTCATATGCTAATTCTATGTTTAACTTTTGAGGAACTGCCAGGCTATTTTCCAAAGTGACTGCACTATTTTACATTCCCATCAGTACTATTTGAAGGTTCCATTTTCCCCCAAGTCCTTGTTATTTATTATCTGTCTTTTTAATTATAGTTATGCTAGTGGTGTGAACTGGTATCTCATTATGGTTTTGATTTGCATTTCCCCAGTGTCTAATGATGCATCTGTGCTTATTGCCCATTTTGTATCTTTTTTGGAGAGAAGTCTATTCAGATCCTTTGCCTATTTAAAAATTGGGTTATTTTTATTATTATTATTGAGTTGTAAGAGTTCTTTCTATTGTCTGATGTAAGTTCATTATTAAGTATATGGTTGACAGATTGTTTCTTGATTCTGTGGGTTGTCTTTTTACTCTCTTGATGGTGTGTGTCCTTTGAAGCACAAAGGTTTTTCATTTTGATGTGGTCCAATTTATCTGTTTTTTCTTTTGTTGCTTGTGCTTTTGGCGTCTAAGAACCATCACGTAACCCCAAGTCATGTGGAATTACCCTTATGTTTCCTTCAAAGAGTTTTATAGTTTTAGCTCTTACATTTATATCTATGATCTATTGGAGTTAATCTTTGTGTATGAATTAGGAAGGAATCTGACTTCATTCTTTTGCATGTGGATATCCAGTTTCCAGCACCATTTGCTGAAGAGACTATATTTTCCCCATTGAATGGTCTTGACACTATTGTCAAAATCATTTGGCTGTAAATATGAAAGTATATTTCTGGATTCTCTGTTCCATTTATCTGTTTATCCTTCTATTCTTATGTTATTGTGTATGAATTAGGAAGGAATCTGACTTCATTCTTTTGCATGTGGATATCCAGTTTCCAGCACCATTTGCTGAAGAGACTATATTTTCCCCATTGAATGGTCTTGACACTATTGTCAAAATCATTTGGCTGTAAATATGAAAGTATATTTCTGGATTCTCTGTTCCATTTATCTGTTTGTCCTTCTATCCTTATGTTAGTACCACACTGTCTTGATTACTGTAGTCTATAGTAAGTTTGAAATTGATGAATATAGCCTTTCTACTTTGTTTTTCTTTTTTAAGATTGTTTTGGCTATTCTGGATCTCATGCATTTTCATATAGATTTTAGGATCAGCTTGTTAATTTTTGAAATAGGAAAAAAAAAAGCCAGCTGGAATTTTGATAGGAATTGCCTTGAATCTTGCAGCCCAATTTGGGGAGTATTACCATCTTAATGGTATTAATTCTGTTGATTCATAAACATAAATGTCTTTCCAATTGTTTAAATCTTTAATTTCTTTGAAACAATGTTTTAGAATTTTCAGTGTACATGTCTTGCACTTCTTTTCAATTTATCCTTTAGTGTTTAAATCTTTTTTTATGGTAGTATAAATGAAATTGTTTTCTTAACTTTATTTTTGGATTTTTCATTGCTGGTGTATAAGGAACACTAGTGATTTTTGTATATTGATTTTTATTCTACAATTTCTCAGAACTTGTTTATTCCAGTAGTCTTTTAGTACATTTCTTAGGATTTTCTGTAAACAAGATCATATCATCTGCAAATAGAGATAGTTTTACTTTTCTCTAATCTGGGTGCCTTTTATTTGTTTTTCTTGTCTAACTGCCCTGACTAGAACCTCTAGTACAATATTGAATGGAAGTTGCAATAGTAGACATCATTGTCTTATTCCTGATATTAGAGGGTAAACCGTGCAGTCTTTCACCATTAAGTATGATGTTAGCTGTCGTTTTTTGTGTGTTTTTTTTCTGGTGCCCTTGACTGGAATCGAACCTGGGACCCTTCAGTTCACAGGCCGACGCTCTATCCATTGAGCCAAACCAGTCAGGGCTAGCTGTAGTTTTTTGTAAATGCCCTTTATCAGGTTGAAGAAGTTTCCTTCTATTCCTAGTTTGTTGAATGTGTTTATCACGAAAGAGTGTTGAATTTTTGTCAAATGCTTTTTCTGAAATAAATTACTTTAAAAATGACTATTTTCCCTTTTTTTTTCATTTACAGAAATTGACTTGCATACCAAATGTGTGGTGGATGTAGATGCAAACAAGGTTATTCTTAATCCTGTAAATACTAATCTTTCCAAAGGAGATGCCCGGTAAGTTAAGAAACAGTGTTACGATTAATGGGTTTTTAAATGACTGAAAGCAACAATGGCTACTGAATTGAGTTCATCTTATCAAATATCAAATGCTTACTGTGTAGAGACATATTGCTGTCAAGTTGAAGAGATGAGATCTATAATATGCAATGACTATACCAGAATGAGTTCTTTAGATTATATTAGAAGCTCAGAGAAGAGAGCTTAGATTAGATGCTGAAGTAACTGAGGAAGGCTTCTTCTTGAAGGAGATGGTGCTGGCTGGAGGATTAAGTAAGATGTATATGGGAAGAAGTGTGGTAGAAGGGAAGGCTTTTAGGTTGTTCCTCAGTTCAGGTTGCTTTTACTTCTGTTAGTTTGAATCTTATGTGTCCATCAGCCATGTCAAGTGCTGCCTTTTCCTGAAGGCATTCCTGCAGTCCTCATTTTTTATTTTATTTTTATTTTGAGAGTATGCTTATTAAAGCTGGGTACAGTGAAACCAGGAAGGGCTTAGGATAGAAGAAGCAACAGGAGAGAGCCCAGGCGGGGCTGCTTTGGCCTCTAGAAATGTTATAGGAAAGAAATGAGCCAAGGAGGCTGCTTTCAGCTCATTGGAGAGTCAGCGAAAAGGGGGCATTGGGGACAGGTTCAGGGGGTTAGCCCAGGACGAGCTGCTGCTGCCCACTGCCCCCTGGTTGCAAGTCTCATGGGGCCTATGGGAAAGGAGAGGGGGTAAGGAAAGGCATAGATGTGCTCCTGGGAGGGAGAGCACACTCAGTGATTCTTTGTTAAATTTCTGTGAGCTGTAACCTCTACTACCTAATTTAATTATTATGTCTTGTTTTGGATTGTTCATTGTAGGTCTCCAGTAGATGTTAAGGTCTTGGAGGGAAGGGACTCTGTCAAGACTTGAGGAAGAATACTTGAGTATTGCTTTTGGACTTGGATCATTGTATGAACAAGAGGGAGGGCAAGAAGGTGTAAAGAAAGTGAAGCGGGGGAAGAAGGAAGGGATTAATGTGTGTTTTTTCCTCAGTAAATGCAGGGAAATTAATTTAATTAAAGAAACTGGGATTAGATTACAGTGGGGCCTTGACTTACGAGTGTCCCGACTAACGAGTTTTTCGAGATACGAGCTGTCTCTCAGCCGATTTTTTGCTTTGAGTTGCGAGCTAAAATTCGGGTTACAAACCAGCTTCAGATACCCCACCGCTAGTTGGCGCAGCGAACATCACAGTGAATGCCACAACATCAGCCCAGCATCACGTGTCTCACTCGTTCACTTTTTGATTTGACATACGAGTAATTTGAGTTACAAGCTCTGTCACGGAACGAATTAAACTCGTAAGTCAAGGCCCCACTGTATAGAATATCTTGAAAGCAGATCAGGAAATTTGGCCTATATTTTTTTGGGTAAGATGTTACTTTTGACAGTTTTTGAATAATGTGATTAATGAGGTGGATTAGGAAAAGGTGTCAGTTGGCAATGTAGAGAATGGGTCAAAGTGGGGGAAAGACTGGCTTTTTACAGCAATTAGCTATATCACAAATGTTTTTGTATTGACCTTGGGAGTGGAGAGCACAGGTTAGAGAGACAGCGCCTGGCATGATGCTTTGCACAAAGTAGGTACTTTATAAGTACTTGTAGAAAAAATGTTATATGTGGAGATACATGCACCATAAATGTTCTTTGGAGCTGAGTTTAATTGAGTTGACAAAAGCACTGGAGTCAGAAAATCTGAAATCGAATCCTTACTTAACTAAGTTATTGTAGCTAGTTACTTTAAACTTTTCTGAGCCTCATCTGTGTGATGCCTGCCTTACCTGTCTCAGGTGTTTTCTGAAGATCAAATTAGTGATTGTTAAAGTGCTTTGTAAAAGTGTCCTACAAATGGTCAGCTTTGTTGTTATTGATGTAGAGATATTTCTTCAGCATCTCTAGAGTGCGGATACTATCAGATATGCTATTATTAGAGTGTGAAGGGTATAGATGTATCAGAAATGATATTGGGATTTTGAGCCTGCCAGTTGAATGACCTTTTTTGTCCTGAGTATTCATTGAAATTATTAATTTTGGGGGCTGTTTATTGCTGTTAGACTTTTTAATCTGTAGACTGTTGTTTTATTTGGAAATGTGGGCACCTCTGAACAAACTTGGCATTAACTTATGGTAGAAAGAGTTTGGGCTTTATACATAGACTGACTTGGATTCCAATTCTGGCTTTGCCAATTGCTAGCATGGTTATCTACCTATGTACCTTGTTGCATAACCAGTTGCCTCAGAAGCCTAGTAGCTAAAACAACCATAATCATTTAATATCTTGTGATTTCTGTGGGTCAGGAGTTCAGACAGGGCACAGTGGGAATTGTCTCTGCCCCATGCTGTCTGGGGCCTAGCTGGAAGACTTGCAGGCTGCGGGCTGGAATCATCTGGATGAGGTTCGGTTACCCACGTCTGGTAATTGATGCTGCTTGTTGGCTGGAGATGTCACTGGGGCAGTGGGCAGAGCACCTACTCACAATCTGGGGGCAGGTTCCAAGAGCAGGCATCTCGAGAGAGAGAGAAAGCCAGGTGGAAGCAGTATTGTTTTCTATGTCCCAACCTTGAGAGTCATGCATCGTCACTTCTGTCACATTTTTTTGCTCAAGGCTGGTATAAAAATACATGGTTTGAAGAAGAGGAAACAGACTCATCTCTCAATGTAGGAACTTCAGCGTCACATAATAAAAACAGTTGGCCTGGGATACGTCTTATTATGGCTGTCTGCCACAAGGTTGTCATAGTATCTACCTGATAAGGTTGTTGTTAGAATAAAATAAGCGCATAGAACTTAAAAAAAAAAAAGATTTTCTTTACCTTTGAGATCTTTAAATCTCAGAGATTTTTGCAAGAATTAAATAGCACTTTTTGGTTCCATAGAATATCTTGCGTAGTTCTTTTTTTTCCCCATATGAAAAAACAAATTGAGTGTTACTCAGTGCTTCAGAGTACCATCTGATGAAAAATTTAACAGCGACAGTTTTTAATAAAGTTGGTATGTAATGGTTTTTGTTTTTTGTTTTTAAGTATATATTTTTATTGATTTCAGAGAGGAAGGGAGAGGGAGAGAGAGGTAGAAACATCAATGATGAGAGAGAATCATCAATCGGCTGCCTCTTGCTCACCCCAGACTGGGGATTGAGCCCACAACCTAGGCATGTGCCCTGACTGGGAATCGAACCGTGACCTCCTGGTTCATAGGTTGACGCTCAACCACTGAGCCATGCCAGCCAGGCTGTAATGGTTTTTGTTGAAGTAGTGTTAAGAAGCACAGCTTTTTAAAAAAACAGCTTTTATTGAAGTATCTAATATACATATAGAAAAGTGCATATAATCTGATGAATTTTTGTTAAACATACTCTGATAAACAAACACCCAGATATAAAACAAGAACATGACTAGTATGACAAAAAACCACCTCATGAGAAGTGCTTTTCCTTTTAACGTAATATCAAGGTGAAACGAGAAATGTAGAAATTTTGGAATGTAGCAGTTCAGTGGTATATGTTCACTTTATAACAGTTGAGGAAAAATAGGAAAGCACAAATTAAAAGCTATTTTATATGATATGGAATTAATTATAGTTTAGTTTGTAGAATGACTGATAACCCATAAAACAAGTTATGGTTTTATAACGGCTGTACTTGTAGCTAGAGAGCCAGGGATTTGAAATTAACATGTAAGTAATTTGAGTCAGTTTGAGTCACTCGTCACAAAGGCTCAAATTAATATTTTTCCTTTAAAAGCTACAATATCCTTTCTTTTGAATAGCATCCAATTCTATTAATCTAAGACTGTCACTAATTTTATATGTATACTTAACAGCTAAAGTTAACCATTTCCAGTTTAACAGCTTAATCATGAGGATTTGGGAAACATTTTTGCTATGATATATATGGGATTTCAAAACTGTTTTGAAAAATAAATACTTAAAATTCAGAAAATTGATAGTACAAGGCTAATTGAGATTAAGATGCTGACTTTGGTGGCAGGTTTGATTCCTGATCAAGGCACATAACTGGGTTGCGGGTTCAATCCTCAGTTGCAGCTCATGTGGGAGGCAGCCGAGCCATGTTTCTCTCTCACATCAATCTCTCTGTCTCTCTTTGTGTCTGTTTCTCTCTTTCTCTCTCCCCATCCCCACCTTCCCCTTCCTCTCTCTAAAAGTCAATTAATAAAATAAAATAAAATGCTGACTTTGGCACCAGACATCCTGGGTTGAATCCCAGCCACACTACTTAACGTGTGTGATATGGAGCAAGTCACTTAATTGTCCTCCACCTCAGTTTATTCATCTGTAAAGTAGAGATTATAATAGTACCTGCCAATAGATTGTTATGAAGATTAAACTGGTTAAAATATGTAAAATTGCAGTGCCTATTTATTTATAATAAACCATATATAAATATCAGCTATTATTTGGGTATTATTGTTATTTTTATTATGACCTGTATTTAAGCTGTAGTCCATGGTATGTTTAGTGAGCTAGATATAACTTCCTAAAGGAAGTAAAATTTTTTTAAACCAAAGTGTATTCAATACTTAAATATACATGCCCACCAAGAAATTACCTAGCTCTATAAAAATTCCAGCTTTGCAAAGTCAGAAACTATTTGTCTAGTTTGCTCAAAGTTGATGAGGCTCTTAGGGATTAAAATGCCAGCTGTTACAGAGATAGGATCCTTTATTTTATGTTTACAGTAAATAAAATATTAATCCTTGCAATCTGGGCTTTTCTTCTTAGTATCAGCTAACTTGGGAAACCAGGTCAAAACATTGCTTGTGAATATGGGTAAGAACAAAGGGACATTTTATCAAATGCTGAAAAGATTAAGGATGAACTCTTTTATTCCACAGCACGCAATTTGAACACTCTAGTGTGTGTTGAAACATGCCAGAGCAGTCCTTTTCTTATACATATAGTACTCAATACACACTGCTAGATTTGATCTATTTATTTTCTCATGCACAGGTA